ATAGTTACACCAAAAAATGAATATAATGTGATTTAACATTTTAACTCACTAGAACGTTAAATCAATGAGAATCCTGAGCTTGTTTCTTTGCAACAAGACGGTTCCATCTGGAGGTAATAGGAGACAATGGTACCCGAAGTGTGTTGCTTATGTCCAGTTTATTTCGTTGTTCCGTCGTCCATTAAAAGTCGCACAAACCCGAGAGAAATACACCATAGTAAATAAAATGGAAATACCAGAAATTTAATGTTCCTTGGGCTGCCCGGTACCATTTGATCCACGGAGCGGTACCGGTCCGCGGCCCGGGTGTTGGGGACCACTGATTTAGATGATATAAAACAACCAAAGTGTAAAACCGAAAAAAACACTCAATTTTTGCAATTTGATTCAGTTGCAAAGAGGGGTTGCAAAACTACAATAGCATTAAATATATGATCAAAGAGAAAAAAACTGGTGAAAGCTCAGAAACCAACAAAAACAATAAATTTAGTTGACAGCTATGATCCCATCAAGTTATATGAACATTTTTAACTCGATAAATGTTATTGGTCAAATTTTATAAAGTAATTAATGGTATCTATATATAATTATTATTATTACAGATAACATCCTATTTGCAGTTATAAAATGCAAAATTATTTAGACATATAATCTTAAACTTTCTATATAGCAAATATCTTATATGAAAATCAAAATATACAATATTCAAAAACCTAACTCACTTTTGCACATTATATCATTAAAAATTTTATTTAAAATTAATATACATTTTATAACAGTAAAAATTTAATTTATGGCAGTATTCTGCCAGGGCAGTGCTCCATCATTTGCAAAATATTCTGTTAAATATTTTCTAATGTCATTTCACTTTTGAGAGTAATGGTTTGCACCAAGTGTATTGATCTTACCAAGCCCATTACTTCCTTTATTTTCACTTCTCTATTGGCCCGATACAACTCTACCTTGCCAATCTTCTGTATCGGTTAATCCAACAGGACAATATTCATTTCTGGTTGGTCATGTCAGCAAATAATTATGCAAGCTTTTATAACGTTGTCGATTTTCTCCTCACTTAATTTAATTGGTCGTCTATAAATTCTCCATCTATTACTTAAAATTCCAAACGAATTTTCAATCACTCGCCTGACTCTAGAAAGACGGTAATTAAAATTTTTTGTTTTCACGTTAAATTTTTATTTTTGCGTGGGTAAGGCCGCATCAGGTATTTTGTTAATGGAAAGGCTTCATCACCCACAAAAAAGTAAGGGGTTCAACACCATTTGATAATCTCCTAAGCTCCGGTAAGTGAAATCTGTTTTGGCATAAACCTTGGCCTAATCTTGACATAGAAAATATTCCCCCATTACTCTCACTACCATAGCTTCCGATGTATACAAAGATCGCATGCATCGCAGGCTGCTAATAAAACCTTACTGAAGCTATTTTTATAATTAAAGTTTAAGCTTCCTGTGTTAAACGGACATTCTATAATAACGTGTTTCCCATCAATTGCACCTAAGCAATGGGAAAATTGCCATTTCTGCTCAAAACCAGAAGCAATATTTTGCCATTCTTCTGGTGATGTGGGAAAATGCACAAAATCTTCAGCTAATTCTTCCCAAATACACATGCAAGTTTCTTTTACAATTTTTCCAACGGTTGGTCTTTCCATTCTAAAGGAATAGGAAAGGCTTCGAAAAGTTTCTCCCAATGCCAAATATCTGTAGTAAAATAAGTTTTAAAATATTATTAAGTACTCTATCATGTAAACAAACAATACATAAAAATGATAGATAAAAAGATTTTACATTTACACATTTACAATAAACACAAATATGTGAAATAAATTTTTATATTAGTCAAGTATAAATAAAAAATACAGAAAATGTTTTTTTTCTATTTCAAAGATGTTTGAAATAGAAACATATATACTGTGTGTATAAATTAATATTATCTTTGTGGTATTAGCTGAGACATTGATTAATATTAATATTAATTTACTAACTTGTAAGTAAATATTTTTATATTCAACATTAACTGCCATTTTATTTGATACATTTACCTCAATGTCACAGCTAGTCTATCACTCGCAAATATAGCGTCTCTCCATCTCGTATTCTATCTACTTATCTTCGGTCCAAGTTTATTTAATAATTCGGCTCTGTACAAACCACATTCTTTAAACACCCGCCCTATTAAATCGATATAATTTCTGCAAACATTGTTTTCATTTGATGAAATCGAATTAATCTTAAAAATCGTGATTTTTACTGCTGAACGTCGATAAGGAAACGACTGAGCGACGTATTGATTGAAGGTTTTCAATAACTTCTCCATCATCGATGTGAACTTTGTATTTTGATGAAATGGAATCATTTTAAAAATGTAGAATTTTATTTTGACAAATTAAGGTTTATATTTATTTTATAATAACAGTCTGATTACTTAATAGTCACACTGTGTATTTAGGCTAATTAAACCTAAAGAAAATAGGTTTTTATTCATCAGAGTTGATATCAGTGTTTCTTCCAATGCTATTGTCAAAACAGTGTTTACAGACACTTTTCACATGCTTCAAACACGTACAGTACATATCTATCACTTTAAAGGAAGAAATTTCTTTTTGTCTCCTTTATCCATAACGTATTGCTCATCTTGATTTACGCGAAAAATTACGTTTATTGATTTGGACATCTTGTATATCTAAAAGCTTATAAAGCTTGATATTATGAACAAACCGACTTATTAAATCCACATGTAACCAAAAATCCGAATAACGAAATCAAACATCAAGAACCACGTGTTTGTAGTAAATCGAAATGTCATGTGTAATTAAATGCAAGCAGTATAATTACGATATGCCACGGAATGGTGCCACTCGGAAAAATTTGAATATGAATCTATCCTGACTTATGAGGTAGCCAGGTGAAGAACCGGAGAAACTCCACATGACTACCTCATTTCTATTTGTCGTACTAAAAGTACACGTCGTTGTTTTTAGCGTAACAGAGTAAATGTCATTTTTAATTGTTTTGAAATAGGTCATTGTTTTTAAAAAATAAGAAAATGAAAATTACTTTTAAATGCGATTTTCCTAATCACAGTTTTAAAATAAGGCTGTTTTGATCAAGAATTTGAATCATAAAAACATTTGAATGAATTTTTAGAATTAATTGTAAAAATATTATAAGTACATTATATATTTTAATATTATTTAATATATTCATTACTGTAAATTACTTTTTATCTTAAAACAAACAAAATAATTTTTAATATATATATTTGTTCAAAAGTCTCTCCTATAGAAATAATGCCAATTTCACATGTTGGAACCAAGAAAAAGAATCGAAAATAGCAGAAGGAGAAGGAAAACAGCGATCCTAACAGATACACCGTATAAGCAGCAGCTGATGGAACAACAAAAACAATCAACAGCAGTTTCGACACCACAGAAAAACGGTCCTTTTTTACCGAAAAAAATTCCGTAAAATCAAAAGTTACAAGCATCAGCAAGGGTACGCCTAACAAGAAACAAAAGACAAATGACACAAAATGTGGAGGGTTATACTCTGCATCTACGGAGAGTTGGGCTAAATGTAGCCGTTGTGATAAATGGGCACACTGTTCTTGTGCCAATATTAAAGAAAACGACAGTTTAACCATTTTAATTTGTCTTTCTTGTATATAAAAATAATATCTCCATCTTACCCCATGGGTGGGGCAAGATGGTGCATTTACGTATAATTTTAAAATATAAAATTTTCTTGCTTTTAAAAAATTAAATTTTGTATTATATATTACCAAATGTTGTAGTTGCCGAGAATAAAAAATTATCGTTCTCATCAAAGTAATTGCCATCTTGTGACTTTTCAAACCTTAATTAAAGTCCTCATCTTGCTCCACCTTCCCCTAATTATTTTATACTTATCATAAAACTTCGTATAAATAACTTAATTACAGTAGAACCTCGATTATCCGCCCCCCGATCAACCGACCCCTCGGTTAACCGACTGGGCAAATTTCAAATGTCCGCTAGTGATGTGGCGCTACAATATTTGGCTATGTCTTGGCTACTTTAATATTATTTTTACGTGTTTTAGCTGGCAACACTCATTCCACCATGAAAGGGAGCCAGTATTTAAACGAAGCTTAATTTTCTAATTTTTAACGATACAATAGCGACGATTATTATTTTAAAAAATTTTTGTTAGGCTTAACATCGATGAAAATTCAACGCAAAATAGGTTAATAGCGATATACTAATATACTAATTACATGGGATATAATAATATACTACACTAATAATGGATTTTTTCATACTTTTCGGTTATCCGACTTTTCAATTATCCGACCAACCCCAGTCCCCAATTAGGGCGGATAATCGAGGTTCTACTGTAATATATAAAATCATCTTATAAAACTTTTATTGTTAAGTAATAAATTAAATTTATATTAATTTAAAAAAAACAAATGTATTTATATTTTTCTTACAAACTGAACAACAAGAGTTTTGTTAAAAATTTCTAGCCTTGTCACTCACTAATTATATATTTTTTTAACTTTTGCCAAAAAAAGAAAACAAATAGCCGGGTGACAATGATTTGTATAATTAAGTTTCACCAACGCATTCTTCTTGTTTATTTCAACAATTTATGACTATTGTTATTAACAATTATGTACATTTGTGAAGATACTTTTACGTATCATTATTAAAAATTCGATTTTAAAGTCGACTGAAATACGAGTTACAAAAATAATCAGAAATAATTTTTAAATGTGCATTAAATTTGTATTAATAATTAGACCATATTATGGAAATATCATTAATTAAGAAGGAAGAATAATAATATGTAAAAATATTATGAGATTACAAAATTTTTTACACAACTGTAAACACAGTTGTTTTTGTTTATCATTTAATTCAGGGGATATCATACAAAAATTATATTTCGTAACAGCATTTGCAAAAGTATAAATACGTGTATCCACACTCCATTCTCTGCAAATTCCTTAATATCACAGAATATCTCACCACAAATACTATTGGATAGTCAACATTCACGATGAATAAAGTTTTATTTTTCAACGCATTCTTAGGTAAGTTTTTACATTAAATTTTTAACTTTATTAGCTAATGAATACTTTTTATTATATTACGCTTCCATCAATTATTTGCAGGAATTATTTTGTCGTATACCGTTGATGGAAATGTTTTGAGAAAAAGAGAAAATTACGAAGTTAGTATGCTTTATAGATATCAAACGCATACGTATTTCCATGTTAAATAATAAACATTTACTCTTTTTAGGTAAAGAAATTCTTTCTGAATCCCTTCAAAATTATAGTAAATTTAAACAAAGTAATAGAAGCTGTCAGTTCTTTAGAATCCCATTTAGAAGAAAGCAGCCCGGACAGAGAGCTTGTAGCTGAAGACATTAACAGCATTATAGAGGTTCTCGATACTCTAAAAGGTACCATATTTGAACAGGTGGCCACGAAATTGGAAGATACATTAAGTGAATTAAAATCGGCAGTGGAAGATCCTTCAAATCAAGACTTTTTAGATTCATGTAGAATTATCCTAGAAGCTCTTAAACCGATTTTAAATTTTATGAAGGGTTTAAGTGGTTAAATATTAATTCTATATACATTGAATTGTGTTTAGAAACTATTCTGAAATTTAGATACATTATTACTGTATGTACTGTACATGGTCAAATCAGTATGAAAATATAAAATTTGTTAGTGAAGTCGCAAAAATAATAAATATAAATAAATTCCTGTCTGGTGAATAATTATTTTATTATTGATACATTGTTAAAAATATAAGTAATGTAATTAGTAAAGTAGATTTATTTGTAATGTTTCTGCTAAAATAAAAACAATTATATCGTCATAAACGTTGTCATCAGATTCATTTTACATGAATTTAGTTTATTTTGAACATTTTCGAATATTTTCTTTCGGAGATAAATTTGAATTGAAATGACATACCATCGGACGTTCCTGCAGGTTTTCCTCCTACTAAGATATCCATATCTGGTCTCGACTGTCATCTATCTGACGGCTTTTCCCAGATTAATAATGGACAGTCGGACGGCCAGACGAAAGTGGGAATGTATAGGTCTACAATTTTATCAAATTGCACCCCGATGGACAAGAATAAAATTGTCGAACTTACACTAGACCGGTTCTCACATTTAAACTCAGATAAAAAGTTCACTATTCGATAAAAACATGTTTTTATAAAAGTACAAAATGAAGATTGTGTTGATACTTTGTAAGTTTGCAGTAAGTAAAGTAAGTTTGTAAATGGATTCGAGAATAAGATGCTGACAGCTTATTGAGCTGAAAAATTAAAGTGTCGTTTAAGAACTCAAGCTTTTATAAGTATTTTAGTGTTGTAAAGGCAAAAAACAACAGTATTATACGTTTTCGGAAAATTAAGTGTATAACGCCTTTATGGAAAAAGCCGGGAAGGGAGAGGCAAAGACCCGAAACGCTTCTCGGCAAAAGAAAAAAAAGAGTATTGAACACACGTAAAGAAAGCCTTCTGTCATTTATATTACACTTCGTTGTGAGATATAATCAAATTACTCTTTCTGTTGCAACCTCAATTAATATAATTATTTACAGTATATTCAAACCACTTACTTTTATAATTATACATCGATGAATCCAAAAACATACTCTAAACAAGTAAATTAGTAAAATAATAGTCATAAATTGTACAAAGTCACTTCAACAAAAAAAACAATTAAAGTAATACTAAAAACAATACAAAAACACCAAAACAGAACAATAAATTACAATCCACAGTATACTCAAAGAGATTTCAAAATTACATGACAAACATTCAAGAATCAAACTAGAAATTCTTACACTACAACATAGAATCCCTGCCTATTTTGGCTTACTACCCCGTTTTCAAAAAAAAAGAAAAAAACACTCTGACTCCCGTTCTTGAAATCAATAGTGTAATCCATAGTTTTCCAACTTTTTGGGTCATAGCCCACTTTTTCAAACAGTCATTCGATGGCGCTCGTCTTAGGTGAAGTATCCTACATTATATATTGAAAAAGAACGACAGATTTTTAAAATTAATTTACTTAAAGATATTAACAATATTGGTGTATTGCCAACGATAGCCAACGAAGTTGTGTGAAATAGTAAACGATTGAAATCTTCGTCGATTACATCACAAAGTTTTCGAAACAATCTAGTTAACTGCTGTAGTTACATAGTGTAATGAACAATAAAGGTGATCACTAAGGTTTTTTGCGACTAAATGTTCCCTGTGAATTATACTATGCACGGCGACTACATTTAGTAACGTCTTTTTCAAATCTGAAATCAACCCGTGGTATAATCCAAGCATCATCGGTAGCAACGGACACGATATTATTGAGTAATACCTTTTTCTTTAAAATAGTGTTCCAATACGTCAAATATAGATTTTCCTTTTGTATCCGTTCTTAATTTTTTGCGAATCTTGACAAATTTTTACATATTATATGAGGCAAGCGTACGCAAGAAGTAGGTTGGTTGGGTTTTATTGGCACTAGAGCCATGCAGACTATACTGTGCCACGAAACATGGTACAATTAGTACTAAAAAATAAATAAATAGATAAATACATATATACAAAATATGACTACCTAACTGTCAAAAAGACGATAGCAATAAAATTGCAGAATCTATACTACAATAAATGAATAAATAACTGATTGATCAGATTTCTTTGTAACAATTAATGACTTTCAGAAAGTTCAGTACCTTCTCAAGACTTGGCCTGTAGCCAAAATTCTTGATAAAATTCCATTCATAACTGGCTTGTGCGAGCACCATCAAATTCGGGGTATTCGTATAGTATATGTTTAAAACTTAAAGTACAATTGCAATACTTCAATATTGCAATAATTGCAATAGGTCATCACCCTTTATAAAGTATTGATGAGTATGTCTATGTCGAGTATGTCTAATCCTCAGACGGGTAAGAATAACTTCAGATCTCCTTTCATAAACCTCATGTGTCTAATTTTCTACCAAAGGGTTTGATCTCGTGTAGTTTATTGTGGACTAGTGGATTCCACATGTTTTGCCATCTCTCTGCTAGTCGTTTTTTAACAACTAGCTTCAAATCGCTTCCTTCAATAGATTGCATGCTGTAAAAAAAAAAACTTGCCGACTTAGCAGCTGCATCAGCTTCTTCGTTCCCTCTTATACCTACCTGGCCTGGGACCCAACAAAATTTTACAGAGAAATCACTCGCAAAAAGGTAGCAAATCAGTTTTCGAATTTTAATCACTAGGTTCACACAACATCAAAGCCTGAAGTATACTAACTAAATCAGTGTAAATTACGCAGCAACGATGACCTTTTCTGATTACATACTTTAAGGCTAAGTGGATAGCCTACAGCTCTGCAGCGAAGATGGAAGAATTCGGTGCTATTTGTTCTGTCACGATTTCGTCCTGGCAGACAAAGGCTGAGCCAACGTAGTCATCCGATTTAGATCTATCAGTGTAAATATGAATTAAATTCCTGAGATGGTGTTCAATTTCTGCAAAGTCTGTCTATACGCGTAATCTGGAGTGGATTTCTTAGGGAAGTTGTCTACTTTTATTGCAGGAGTTGACCAAGATGCTATACTATCAACCTAGCCTGTGAAATGTTGCTTGTGTCCAGGTCAGTCGGGCTGCTTACATTCTCCATTCTTATGTCGAATGTAGGAACACTAGATGGGCGGACTGCAAATAATAATTTTTTCAGCTGAGTATCTGATACTGTACAATCAACTGAGGGTTTAGTCTGAGATTTCTGTTTAATATAATGAGAGAGACAACTGTTCTCTCCTGGGTGATAGTGGAGGCTCATAAACACCCACATACAGTCTTTGGGCAGGAGAAGTTCGAAAAGCACCAATGCACAAACGCAATGCTTGATGGTGAATTGCATCCAGCATCCGAAGAGTAAATTCTCGCGCTGAGCCATACACAATGCATCCATAATCCAACTTCGAGCGGAGAAGAGCCTATAAATCCTGAGAATGAAACATTTGTCTCCTCCCCAATATAAGCAGCATAGTACCTTTAAAAGATTCAGAGATTTTAGATCTACTCTTCAAGTAGCGTAATTGTGGAAGAAATGTCAGCTTTTGGTCGAACAAAACGCCCAAAAACTTTGCCTCATTCGCTATTGGAATTTTAACTTCATTTAAGTGTATTTCAGGATCCAGGTACAAACCACGCCTTTGGCAAATGTGGATGCACTATGTCTTCTATGTGTTAAACGTAAAAGCATTGGTCTTCGACAAATCGTGTATGCGATTTAGGGAGGTTTGCAGTTGTCTCTCGATAAAACTCATGTTATTCGACTGGCAGGAGATCTGGAAATCATCCACATACAAAATGTGTTTCACACTGAGAGGGAGACAGTTATTAATTATTATTAAGAACAGCGTTACACTCAAAATAGAACCTTGAGGGACACCTTCTTTTTGTGTGAATGGCTTAGATAAAGTGGTACCCATCCTAACTTGGAATCTTCGATTCTGTAGGAAGTTTTTTTTATAAAAATTGGCAAATTACCCCACAATTCACTGACAGCTTATTGAGCTGAAAAATTAAAGTGTCGTTTAAGAACTCAAGCTTTTATAAGTATTTTAGTGTTGTAAAGGCAAAAAACAACAGTATTATACGTTTTCGGAAAATTAAGTGTATAACGCCTTTATGGAAAAAGCCGGGAAGGGAGAGGCAAAGACCCGAAACGCTTCTCGGCAAAAGAAAAAAAAGAGTATTGAACACACGTAAAGACACTTGTGTCATTTATATTACACTTCGTTGTGAGATATAATCAAATTACTCTTTCTGTTGCAACCTCAATTAATATAATTATTTACAGTATATTCAAACCACTTACTTTTATAATTATACATCGATGAATCCAAAAACATACTCTAAACAAGTAAATTAGTAAAATAATAGTCATAAATTGTACAAAGTCACTTCAACAAAAAAAACAATTAAAGTAATACTAAAAACAATACAAAAACACCAAAACAGAACAATAAATTACAATCCACAGTATACTCAAAGAGATTTCAAAATTACATGACAAACATTCAAGAATCAAACTAGAAATTCTTACACTACAACATAGAATCCCGGCCTATTTTGGCTTACTACCCCGTTTTCAAAAAAAAAGAAAAAAACACTCTGACTCCCGTTCTTGAAATCAATAGTGTAATCCATAGTTTTCCAACTTTTTGGGTCATAGCCCACTTTTTCAAACAGTCATTCGATGGCGCTCGTCTTAGGTGAAGTATCCTACATTATATATTGAAAAAGAATGACAGATTTTTAAAATTAATTTACTTAAAGATATTAACAATATTGGTGTATTGCCAACGATAGCCAACGAAGTTGTGTGAAATAGTAAACGATTGAAACCTTCGTCGATTACATCACAAAGTTTTCGAAACAATCTAGTTAACTGCTGTAGTTACATAGTGTAATGAACAATAAAGGTGATCACTAAGGTTTTTTGCGACTAAATGTTCCCTGTGAATTATACTATGCACGGCGACTACATTTAGTAACGTCTTTTTCAAATCTGAAATCAACCCGTGGTATAATCCAAGCATCATCGGTAGCAACGGACACGATATTATTGAGTAATACCTTTTTCTTTAAAATAGTGTTCCAATACGTCAAATATAGATTTTCCTTTTGTATCCGTTCTTAATTTTTTGCGAATCTTGACAAATTTTTACATATNGAACGTGTGAAAGAAGACCACTGAGTCA